AATAACACATGCTGGCGAGAGGCTGGTGAGGTTGTAAAATGGTGCCACTTCTGCAGAGATCAAGACGATGGCTCCTCAAAACTGAACAGTTATCATGTGATTCAGCATTCATTTCCAGATACACAGCCAAAAATCACTGAATGCAGGACTTAAAAGACATTTAAGTGCTCATGTTCACATCCTCACAGTAACAAGGTGTTAGCTACCCAAATGCTCAACACACGGACAGAGAAGCAAAGTGTGATCCACCAGCAGACTAAAAAAAGTAATCCCTGAAATGAGCTGCATCAACAGACCTTCAGGTCAAAAATGTCATAAAAGGAAAAACCTTAACTCCTTAGCCATTAAATCCATACAAAGTAGAATGGTGGCTGCTGGGGGTCAGGTGTTTGGTGGGAACAGAACCCAAGTTGCCCAGGATGAAAGGGATTCTGCACCATCTAAAACCTGCACAGGGGTGTGAAGCAGTATCTCAGAGGACAGACCAGGTGACCACAAGCACACACAAACCTAATGATATTCTCTGCTTCATCAGTAACCTGTTACGTGCATATGTACTTCCTCTTTTTATTTTTTTCCTTCATCAGCTAAGGCCCAGTTTTATTTTTTATTTTTTGAGAAACAGGATTTTAATTTTATTTATTAAAATATTTTATTTTTTTCTTACTTTACATATCAATCCCAGTTGATTTAAAATATTTTCTTCTTGACTAAGTCCAAGGGTTTCTAGGAGTAGAATAAAACTTGGTAAAAGTCAAACTACCATTCTTTAGCCAGGACTAGATGAGACCACCCAGGTTCTTCCTAGAGCAGGGTGGATCTCTCTACTCACAGTGCCTTGTCTGAGTGGTCTACCCTGCAGGCAAAAGGAACCATATTTTTACCACTGTTTCACCAGCAGGACTAGAATTGGCACACTCCAGGAATATGTTTGGAGTGGATCTCTGATCCCCTGTCTTCCAGCCAATGCTGGGATACATAGACCTTTATGTACTCTGGGATGGGCCAATGGCCAAAATATAAGTGACCTACAACTGGTGTGGGTGGGATGTAAGGCTGGACAGTGTCTCCTTCTTGCTCAAGTAACTGCAGCTTCCCTAAGTCCCTCCCTATTGACTGTTAACACATGGCTTTGGTCTGATGGACAAGGTGCAGGGTTGATAAGGCATGGCTGCATGTCCACCTGCCTTATCCTCACTCACAGACACTGATTGACGAAGGTCTGGGTCAGGTGAGACATGCACTCCCTTCTCAACAAAGTCAAGGAACAGGTAAGAGCACTACTGTACAGAACAGCAGTAGGTCCAGACAAGGGGAAAGCTACACAGGGTAACGAGTGGGGGAAGGGAGATGAGTCAGCCCAGGATGAAGCTTGGCTTATGGGGCACAACATTGTCTGGGTTCTCTCTTTGAACAGTACACAGAAGCAGGGCAGCTTTATGATGCCTCATTCTCAAAACAGACTGGGAATACCAGATCTGTATGGAACAAAACCAGCAGCTGCAAGGAGGGTCGGGACAAGATGGTGCTATGGCCTATGCCTCCATGTCTAGGCTCTTGAGAGCAAAGTGACAGAATATGTACTTCTTGAAGGCTGTAAAAAATTACTTGCGAATGTATTAGTAGTTCTAAGGAGAGAAGAACTCCCCCAACTCCAACAACACATCATCATTTGGTCCTACAACCCAAAGACAGTGGAGATCAGTTGCCTGATTCCATGGTTTGACTAAGGAAACACCTGTGTTGCAGCTTTGGGCTGTGCTGGGTAGCAGCTCTCCCCAACCCCACCCATCCAGGGCAGTGACTGACCAGAGCACTGTGTGGGGCAGACAGACGCAAGAGGAAGTAACTCTTCAGAGCCAGGAGAACCGCTAATATTTTATTGACAGAATTTTTGGTTACAGTACAGCTCAAACACATTTTTTTTTTTTTTTTGCTATGAAACCACACAAATGATACACACAACAATACATTTGCTTTTCACCTATGTCACTATTTTTCACATATACAGCCTGCAAGAGTTCCCAAGTGGTTAATGTCAAGGAAAACTTGAGTAAAGCATGGCAGTGTCACTCATACGGGAAGAGCACGTGACTGGCAGAAACACGAAGAAACAGTGAGGCCAGAAGAAAGCAAGGCGGTGTCTCGTGGTTTCTAAGCAGCCAGAGCACTTCCAGCAACATAGCCCGCACTCCAAGCTGCCTGCACAGCAGGGAGGCGCACACACATTACACGACGACGAGGGCCATATCAGCAAGGGCTGTATAATGGCCAAACGGCCACCACTTCCAAGCGCATGAGAGCACGCTACCACTAACACTGACCCACGCCCTGGGTCCTGCAAAGGTAGAGGGGTAAAAACAGAGAGGGGTGGTTAATGACATGCAGACCACAGCTGAGAGGCACTGGCATCTTTAGGCCCAGAGTCAAACTGCAAAATAACAAGCAAAAGGTCAGGCTATCCAATTCAGGTTCTGGAGGAGCAAATCCCAAGGAAAGACCTGTCGAAGCAAAAGGGTTAGAGAAACTGGAGATGTGGCCCTGGTGCAGACATCCACAATGTTCCCTTCTGCCAGAGGGAACCTGACTCAAGGGAGTATCGGTGACCACTGCAGGTGTGGAAACCATGGAAGTGGAGACAGAGAGCAAGCAAACAAGAGAATCACTGGGGGGGGGGGGGGGGCAGTGACAACACCTCAGGTGTGAACAAGAGGGGAAAAAGCAGAAGGTGAGGAAGGAGCCAGAGCCCCAGCCAGGCAGGGCAGTGGATGAAAGAGTGGGAGAAGAAAACAGAAAGGCGAAAGGAAATCACACTCCGTCACTGTGGCACCTGAAAATTAAACAGGGCAATTAAAACCTAGGAAGGAAGTCCTCACAGAGGACACTGCTCTGGATGCCACACCTGTGAAAAGTAAAAGACAAGCGGTTATCTGCTCCTCAGGAGCCAGTCAGTGTGGGATGGGTGCAACATGCTGTCTACAATGTGTGTGTTCTAAGACAACAGCGCAGAATGCAAAAGGTGTTAGTCCCCAAACCAGCCTCTGCATCACTTGTCCTTAAAAGGAAAAGTAGTTTAGCAGAAATTCATATAAGAAGGTCAAGAGGTCTACTGTCTAGAGCACATTAAAATTCCAAACACAACACAATAGCATGCACCTGCCCATCCCACCTGTGGGACTTGTGAGACAAAAATTATACAAGGTTCTGTCTAAAATCACCTGCATTTCCCCCACAGACCTTTTCTAATCAGTAAACTGAACCAAGGAGAACATTTATAACCTCTCCTTACGGTAGGCCTAAGGGACAAGGAGAGAGTTTCTCAGTAAAAGTGCCTGTCCTACCAACACTGGACAGGAAGAGTTAGATGATCAAAAGTTTCTAGGAAAGTCAGGTGAGGTATGTTAACAAGTACCTCTTCCTGACACCTGGTACCAGTAAGAGGCATACCTGGGATCCAATATGAATCAGTGGATTACTCTGGTTCTAGTACACAAAGCAATGGGTTTGTGTACCTAAGAAGTTAGGCATTTGTAAATGACAAAAACTAAATAGGTTGCAAAAAACCTTACAGAAAATCCTTAGGATTTAATAAGACAAGGCTCACTGCCTTTTGAAGTTTATATTGAAGAATGTAAAAATAATTCTTCACAAATTCTAAAATACCCAAACCATTGTTGCAGTATTATTAAACTCGGTAATGTATTTAAGTCTCTCCCATAACTGAGCTAAGCTTCTAGTGGCTTCCTCTGTGGGGAGGGGTCTTGTTCTTGTCCACCCTGTGCCCCATTTGTTAGCTTGTTTGCAGAGCACCTCAAGGCCAAGTGCTCTCCCAGGCCTCTTCTCCCTCTGAGAAACAAAACAAGTGGGCATAGAGTGAGGATGCAAAGCCAGAGCTGGGTCCAACAAGCAGGAGGCAGGGAGTAAAGCTGACTCCCAGGACAGGAAGGGAAACAGCAAGCAAAACAGCCACACCTTGTGGCCCACAGCTCTGGCAAAGGAAGATGCGCCTGACTCGTTCATTTCGTCTTGGGTCAGAGGATACAGAGAAGAGCCTCAGAGCACCCAAGTATGACGAAAAACAATACTTAGCTATTGCACAGACCTCTTGGGCTACTGCCTTCACCTGTCTTCAACTAGCATAAGGTGGTCTACATCAAGCTTACCTTCCCAATATTGCCACGAGGAAATAAAGGACAAACAAAACAAAAACCAAAACACAAAAGACAGGTATAGTCCTTAAGCCTAGTCTTCCAGAAAGACCCTTCACCTAGTCTGTGTCACCGTAAGGGTTCCCTCATGTGCCCATTTGTGAGGCTCTACACCTGAGTGAAGGAGCACCCTTGAGGTCCCATCAGAGGTGTACATCAGTTTCATTCCCATCCTAAAGACTCTCTTTCCTTGCCCACTGTCCAGTCCTCCCTCCCATACCTTTTAGGTTCCCTGTCAGCTTCTATGAACAGCAAAGGCTTCTTCTACCTGCTTCAGACAGAATGTTGCTTGGGGGGGGGGGGATAACCCCTGGGTACAGGACCTAAGCTCCATCCTGATTCAGATAACCATCTCTGACCTTTGCACATCACATGAAAACTACCCAGATGAAAATGGTTATGGAAAACCCACCTCCCACCCCATCCAGCCACGATCCTCCACGGCAAGGCATGGGCACGGGACCTGCACAAGAAGCTGCCTATTCAGATTGGGTGGGAGCCAGGGTGGGAGTTTACCTCAGAATCTTTTGGGAAAGAAAAGGTGAGACTTCCCCCTCAAGAATATCAATATAAGGGTTTAACAAATGTGGCCAAGCCAAGGGCAACACAAGGTTATGTTGAAGTAAGCAGCTAAGTGAACTCAACAATCATTACAGCACAAAATAAACAAGCAAAGAGAGGGAAAGTTATTCGTCCCCTCCCCCTACTCTCCACCTCAGGACAGATGTGAGAGTCATTCCTTCAACCTTCTGGAACTTGTGAACAAATAATACACAGATGAGGGTTAATGTATTGACTTACTACCATCTTTATGAAAATCGAATGTACACACAACAATTATGAAAGTGTCTCCATTAAACTTTGATAAGACAACAAAAACAAAACAAAACAAACAAACAAAAAAAAAAGAACTAACAAATAGCTAAGGTGTTGCTGTTTGAGTTGAAAGCGTTTCCAATAACATTTTAATCTTAAAAAGGTCCATATTTACACAGTATGCTAATGCCTTTTCTCCTCATTTGAAATGCAGGGTAGAGAAAGAACAGAGATAATGGTTGCAGCAGATCTTCCACGGGTTGAGTTCGGGTGGTGGTTGACTTCGCTGTGAGAAGTGCACGTTAAGTGGGGAGCGTCCTTTCTAATTCTGCTTCTCTCACTTTCTGTGGCTCCCTCCGCAGAAGCTAAGCCTTGAGAATGGCCTGCCTAGTCTGACAGTCCACTCCAGGTGGATGTGTGCCAAGGTCAGTGAGCGAGCGGCTATTCTAAGCAGTGCTTGGAGCTGCTCTCTCAGGACACTGCCGTAAGAGAAAGCTACCTCATGTGTGCAGACAGTTAAGGGACACACATGCTCCTGGGTATCTCATCATACTCAAAGCGGCCCCAAGACCTGAGGTGAACAGTGTTGTTGATGAGAGTATTTCCTTAAGTCCTTAAGTGACTTCAATGCAACAGTGCCTACTTTTCAGACAAAAATGCAGATTTGGGTTTTAAAGGCCCAGCGCTCAAAACTATTTGAGAAAGAAGCAAACTTGTTAAACTCCTTTTACTGAGTCCTAATCCTCAAGTTCCTACATGGCCTCTATCTCATCCAACTAGAGCTAACATATTACCAAACTCACCAATTTAGTGAAATATCTATCGATAACCCCTGTGTCTAGGAGAAATGAGTGGGAGTGACAGTGGGGTGACCAGTCGATAGCACTTGGATGGGCTGGGGCCAAGCTTGGTAAAGGCACCGCACCGCAGAGCTGGCCCTCAGTGCAACCTGCCAGAGGTAAGGCAGAGGCTTTGTGGTCAGAAGTGGCACCATAGCCACAGGGTCTTCTATCCTATGAATGCCTTGCCTCAATTGCCTGGAACCCTAACAACCATCACATTGCCTTAGTGCTCCTTGCCACCACATAATGTCATCTCAGAATTGGTCCTATGCAGTTTCACAGGGCCTGGAATACCATCCTCCAGTTGTAAAGATTGGCAACTTAATTGAAAACGTAACATAACCTGCACCTACTCCTCATTATCCAGCGACAGTAAGTGACAACAGACTCCTATCTCCCTCAATCCTATTAAGGTATGTCAGATAAAATTACAGGTATAAAATACAACTAAAAAGTCCTGAGTGTGTCCTAGTGTCATTGCCCATTTTAGAGTACGTCCCGAACATTGAATCTTTCATGGGGGAAACATAATAAGGCACTGTGTTCAGTGTCTGCCCAGCATGGACTTGCATGGGATGCTTTGTAGAAAGTGAGTCTCACCTGCTGGACCTGACCAACATGACTAGTGTGGACAGACACACTTATCTTGGAGAGCATCAGCCCTGCTGAGGAATCCATCCCTCACACATGCGATAGAAGGGCAACCCAAAGGAAACTCAAAACCCTGAAGGGCAGTGAGGTAATCAAAGCAATGACAGCACATACCACAGAGCTAGGGTGTTTAAAAAGCAGAGGCCCAGGTAAGTCTGACCACCCTTCAAGCTGTATCTCAACCTGTGCCAGGAAAGTAGGCCAAGAGGGCTGCCTGTGGGGAGTGACTGAGCCACTGGCCATAGAGCTCCCTGTGCTTGCTTAGCTAGCACTGTGCCCACCTGAGAGTTTCTGCTGAAACAGGCAGCACTTTGGAGGTATTTACAGGAAGCAGAATTGCCACTTTCATGGCACCATTCCCAGCCACCCATCTCACACCCTGGCTTCCCAGGGCAGGTGCGTGTCAATCATAATCACCCGAATTTTTACCTATGTTTTACCAGAGCCTGTGAGGGCTTTCTGAGACCTCTCCAGTTAAGCCTGGTTGAGAATTCTTTTCTAGCCTGTACTGAAGATAAGTGCAACCATTATCAAATATTCTTTGCTGTGGAAAAATCCTTGGAATTTGAGCTGGTAACATTCTTTCCTGAATCTAAGACTGTGACCAATCACATAGTAGGATCACGAAGAACAAGGTCTACATGCATTGTAAGCACTTGGAAACAAAAGAACACGAGAACAGAGTTCTTGTGAACAACAGAATTCAAAGCAATCTAACACCAGACTCCAATCCCATGTCCACCAGTTTAACTCTCTTCTGGAATCACCCTGTGGCTGGCTGGCGCGCAGACAAGTTGGCAAACTGCAGACCGGAGAGGCCTACACTTCTGGGGATCCTGCGCCAACCTATAGCTTCCTTGAAGAAATTCCACAGTGTGTGCAGCATGAGGTCAGATTTTCCCATTCAAGATCACTCCACTATCAGGGCAACATTTATGTGGGACAGATCGATCATGTGCCTGTGGAAATTTGAACAGACAGTTAACACAAACTCTTAAGAGAGCAATTCACTAAGATGCACAGAAATGAAGCAGAACCTGATGAGCAAAACCTAAGGAGTATGGAAGCAGAAGAGATCCTTCTCAGACAACAAATTCAGATTACAGAAAGATGTATAGCCATGTTCTGCACCTCTGTAGAGCGTAGCATAGCAACCCCCTCATCCACCCAGTCACTATATAACACAGAGGTTACCTGTGGAATTTCTGCTGAAATGCTAGTGCGTGGGCTGGCTCCTTGAACTTTGCTATGGCTTTCCGTTGCTGGGGAAGCATCTGTAAACTCTATGGGAAGAAAACAAAAGATAATTAACTAATGTCCACCGTGACACAGAATATGAGCAATCACATGTTACAAGCTTCTATGCAGAACAGCAGACGAGACTGTCACCTGGAACATGAAAACAAGCCACCCATCCTTGGTTGCCTCCCTGGGCACCTGTGCAAAGCAGTGCTGCTGATTAGCTGGGGAGCAACAAGTCTGCCCTCTAGTATGATACTCAGACCTTCCTCCAGCCTGCCCAGCCTCTCACACTGAGACTAATACAGGTACCCATGGGTAAAAACCTTAAAGCCCTGTGCCTTTCTGGAAGGCGGTCTTTGATGGTGTCCTCACCCCTCTACAGAATGGCACATCCCTGGTTTACCACAGGGTAAATGGGTAACACCACTCTGGGTGAGGGGCCCTATGCATGAATGGCACACTTAGCCCCCAGAGCTTTGGATTTTTTCCAATTCTACATTTCTACATATGTAGCCAACCTGGCTCTCAAGTAGGAACCCTGACAAAAGCTGCATGCTAAGAAATGGCAACGCGGTGATCTTAATTCAAGGCAGGCCCCAGAGTCTGTTATGTCACTGCTTTGGTCAGCTAGCTGCCTTTCTAAGAATCAATGTGGCAGTGAAAGACAAACTCCCAAGGGCTGGGTGTTTCAATCTAGTTCACAGAACTACTAGCACAAACAAGTATGCTAACACAGACAACGAAAAAGAATAGTGTCTGTCCGGAGACAGGAATCAGATACCAGTTATCACTACATTATGGCTCATACCCAGTAACTGGTCTTGAAGTCAGTCACTAAGTCACATGGGAAGGAGTGACTTTCTCAAATAATGGAGATTCATGGAGTAAAAACTTTATTTTCTTCTCAAAATAATTTTAGGCAAAGTCTAGATTAACTAACAGAGGGTCCTTGAAGTTACAATGAACCTACTTCCTTGACTCTAAGCTTTAACCTGGCTCTGCTCTCAGAACAGAGTGACTTTTTGACTCAGAGCTACACTTTCTCCGTCTGAAACTCAAACACCAGGAAACTTCCTACACTTCATGTATCTATCACTTGCTCCACCTTTCACCAATCTCCCTTGGTCTAGAAGAGCTTAGTGTTAGGCAGTAACATGCTAATCGAGATCAATAGTTTCTATGGGATCACTGCCCCAACAAACGTATTTCTCTGGTCTGACAGGTTTACTATCTCTCCAGTAGAAGATTTGATAAAAAACAACACCAGTAATAAGCAAGTGAGCACTAGGTGGTGCCATACTCACAGCACATCAACTCTATATTTCCTTCCCAAACACCAAGGTATAATTTCCCAACAAGAAAAAACACAGTTTCTTCTCAAAGCAGGACAACAGTGCTGGAGATCTAGGTCAATCATTTAATACCATTTCTTTCAAACCAGTCAAAATAATAAAAGACTCTTGAAACCACATTTCTGTCACTTTAAAAAAAATTATTAAAAATTGAGTATGAATGTGTGTACATGCAAGGATTTCCAAGATGTGGCAAATGTTTACAGGCAGCTGTGAGTCACCTCATGTGGGTGCTGGGAACTGAACTCTAGTCCTCTCGAAAAGCAATACACACTCTTAAATGCTGAGCCATCACTCTAGCCTTGAGTTACTTCTTTACCCGTCAACTACCAGACCTTTTTTGTTTGGTTGGTGCAGACCTTTAATCCCAGCATTCAGGAGTCAGAGGCAGTTGGATCTCTTGAGTTCAAGACCACACTGATCTACAGACTAAGTTCCAGGACAGCCAGGGCTACACAGAGGATCCCTGTCCCAACCTGCCCCCCCCACCAAGGGGGGGGGGAGAGAGGGAGGAGAGAGAAATGCAGTAATTTTAAAAATGCTCAGCTTAAAAATCCACATAAGCCTATCTCACTGACCAAAGACCAGTAGAAACCAACTGTTCTGCTTCCGGAGTAAAAAGACCTTTGCCCAGCAGTTCCTTAGGGACCCCCAGGATGGCAGGCACATAGCACTGAAGCTTCTAATTCATCTAAAGGGTTGGCATGCTGCTACTGGCATAATCTAGGAAATTCTTCACTGGCTTTCAGTCAGACCTTCCTCTCCACGCCATTTATCAACAGCAGCATTTCTTCTACTGGAGATTTTAAGGTGGCCACAATAAATACACAATTATTCCGATTGTTTTCAGAACTCAAAAAAAAAGTAGCAAAAAAAAAAAAAAGGAAGGGAAAGCCACACAAAGTACAAAATTCAGTATATGAGTTAAGACAGAGGTCACACTGTTTCAACTTATTATCTGTAGCCAGGGCACACAGCAGCGTGCTACAGATGCCCTCACACTCAGTGCAGAGACCTGCAAAATGAGAATCTTCACAAGACCCAATTATAAACACCAGCCTTCATTCAGTAAGTACCTGAGTAATGGTGGACCAAGCTCATGTTGGAATTTGGGCTATCTGGGCCATTATTCAACCCAGAATTTCCAACTATTAGTTATTCTCCATAATACTCTATTATTAATTCTGTTCCTGCGAATAACTCATACCACAATCAAGTTCTCAGAAAACATCTATCCCCTTTTCAGACAGTCTCAGTATGTACTTCAGCTGGCCTCCTCCTGTGTGAGCTTCTCAGTGCTGGGACTACAGGCATGCACCAGAGTAGCTAAAATAATCTATCCTTAAAGACAGAGTGTTACCAACAGCTGGCAAAAGTGGGAGCCAAAGTCTGGAGGCAAACCTCTTATTAATAAACACTAAATTAAATCTAATAGCATCTCTAAGAATCCCATAATGAAGGTGGCTATCATTAAACTCAAACGCCTAACCATTAGGCTCTGATTTAGAAGGCTTGCTCTTTTACTCTCTTTAGGACCTCTTAACAGTAAACAGACATATGTCTGTTTGAGGCAGGATCTTTCTTGCTATATAACCCTGGCTGGCCTGGAACTTGCTATGTAGACTAAGGCTGGCCTCACACACACAGAGGTCCTCCTGTCTCTGCCTCCCAAATGCTAGGATTAAAGGCCTGAGCCACTATACCCAGCTGTAAATGGAGATCTGATACACTTTGGTCCCAAGAATAAAATAAAAAGTGGTCCTTTGTTCTGCTCAGAAATGTAACATATTCTGGATAACCTGCATTATCCACTGGCCATGCATGACTCTGAAGACCACTCTGCAGGTCAAACTTGCTTATGGCAGACATGGAATGGAGTCTGTCTCCATCCTTCATATCACTGGTAACAGGCTTAGACCTTACGCATCAGACGCTGCCATTTTAAAAAAACATGACGACAAAGTGCAAGTTACTGCTGCATCTGTACTGTAGATACTAAAATAAGCACCAGAGTTGTGAATATGTTGGACAGCTTCATAAAATAAGACAAGGTGGCTAACTACTTGAAAACTGAGGAAAACAGGTATGTGTATTACATGTGAACTTCAGGACAGATTTCAAAGGATAGTACGTTCTACTAGAGTATTTACTTCTTAAATGTTGTAAATAAGACTATAAACTCAGTCTGAGGCACCATTAGTACCTTTCTTTTTCAAGTACAATGTAACTCACAATGTCTACTGGGCTGTACAACACAGTAGTTTTATTTGGAGAGATGCCCCCCCTGGCATATCACCACCTGCAAGCAACCCACCTGGATTGGCCCCACAGACATCAGCAGGCTCTTCAGCTGGGCATCAGTGGTTGACGAAGACAGCCCTTCCACAGACACCACACAGGGCTGTGGCTTGCACTCCACCACTCGAAGGTTCTGCTTATTTGGCATTAGGCGCCCCCGGCCCATGGGACCTGCCACTCCTCGGCCTCGTCCATGCATGATGGTCTGGCAATGACAAAGAAGATGCATCTGATATCTGAGTGGGTTCTTCCTGTAGTGGCTAATAAAGTACAAAATAAGCATGTGTCCAGGGTTCATGAGGACATGCTGGGAGCCACAGAATCTTCTGTGTATTAATCTATACCATTAGAGGGTGGCCTAAGAACCAACTGGAACAACACCATCAAGTGGAATGAAGCCAAGATGGTCCCAGAGTTCTGTACTTATGATTGGGAGGGATTCTGGTGTTACTTTCATTCATAATACAAACAATGCAAGAATACAAACAGTGGCTGCAATTAGCATAGGAGAGGTCAGCCCCCATTCTAACTGTCCCAAACACACACATTTCCCCTACCATGGCATAGGCCAATGGATACACATGGTAATATACAGGGCTAAATCTAAGAGTAACAACGAGTCGTACACAGCTTCTGGGATCCAACTCAAATGGGCAAATCTTATTCTATTCACCCTCCTCAAGCCTGTGAAACAGGACTTCATTTAGCCATGTGTGACAATCACTGCCAGAGCTTTTAACACAATCACATACCAATCTGCCAGTAAAAGGACTCCTAAAGCACCATCTTTCAAATCTACCCAAAGTGTCAGAACTACAGTGAAGGGCCTTTAGAGAGAAGAGATAGCTGGCATTTCCAGCATTTTCAACTAGTGAGGCAACTAAAAAGAGATTGCCTAATTCTTCAGTTACCTAGCCAGGAACGCAGAGACAGTGGGACCCATGGAGTCAGCTGGAGACGCTGTCTGACTAGAGAAGTACACTGGACCTCACCTGTGTCCTGCCCCAATTCTGTCCCAGCATTTGGTTAAAAGGAGCAATCCACCATACCTTGCCACCTCTTAAGAAAGGGCAGGAAGCCAGAGTTGATGTGTGGGTAACAGGTGTGGAATGTAAAGGAACACAACTAGAGATTCATCTACAGAAGGCCAACACTACTACTGCTGTGAGACAAGCTGTGGAGAAGTGAAGGGACAGTTCCAGGATTCACACAGGAGGCAAGTCAAAAGTGAACTAACCAGTCTTCTGCTTTCACTACAGAAAGTCACATATAAACACTCTGGCACGAATTTCAGCCAGATACTAGGTTTTGCCATAATTGTCTTATAAAACCTTACAATAGCTCTAACAAGTGAGAAACATCATTGGCCTCTTAAAGGAGAACTAAGGGGGTTGGAGGAAGCACCTCTAGCACACCTGCATGTAATTTTCTAAAGTTATGTTCTTCATGTAACCAGGGATAGGTCTGAAAGGAAACACATCCTGGAACAGTCTATGATCAACTACTGTATTGCTGGATTTATCACTTAACGTGTGTACATCTACCTGCTGCTGCAGCAGTTTCGTCTATTGGTCCCTATCTCATTAAGAGTGTGAAAGACAGCACACACAAGGTAAGTGGAAGGCTGTATGAGCAGACTCCACACCTGAAGAGGGCGGAGCCAGCACGTGCCTAGCCTCAACTGTATCTCAGATATGTGCTACTGCTCTAAGGAGGACTTTATGTTCATCTGCTTTTGAAAATCAGAAGGCTGCCTGTCCTCCAGAAGCTGAGGACTAGTACCCTGTCACTTCTTCATCTGCAACATGACTAACTGGCTTCTCTTTGAGAGGAAACAGGGACCCTGTGAGCTCCAGGCCTCCCACCTGGCAGGCTGGGCTCAGAGATGACCTTTCCATCATACCTCCACCGGGCTTTGTTTCTAGTCCTTGAGCTGAGGTGTGATTACAGACAGGGAGAATACAGTTCTAGTTCTCTAGTCTCTATTAGGGACATCCCTGGTGTCAAGTGGGTGGAGTGAACACAGGTAGCAGTGCTGTCTGCTCAGAGGTACAGGACAGCGATACTCTCTGATTGTACCACTGAGTAAATGACTTGGAGGGAAAGGCTCTTTAAACCGGGATTAAGAAAACAATGGCTCCCAGGGTGGTAGAGGTGCACACTTTCAACCCCAGCACTTGGGAGGCAGAGGCAAAGGGATCTCTGTGAGGCCAGCCTGGTCTACAGAGCAAGTTCCAGGACAGCCAAGACTGTTATATAAAGAAACTGTCTTGGAAAACAGAGGGAGGGGAGGGAAGGAGGGGGAAAGGGAGGAAGGGAGGGAGGGAGGGAGGAAGGGAGGGAGGGAGGGAGGCTCATTTACTAATGTGTTTCAGAAAAACCATCTAATACCAACTTCTCTCAACCAGGAGACCTACAAGAGACAGGGCCCTTCCACTTTAGTACCTTCTTGGCTGGGTGAATCCCTTGGATGCTTTTGATCCCTGGAGGAATAGCCGGGTACATGTGGGGCCCCACAGTCAAGTGCTGGGGCTGCTGAGGACCCCCCTTGGTCAGCGTCACCTTGCGAGTAGGCTGCTGTCTCATGTCCGAAGTCTGGGGAAGCCGCTGGGGCTGGCTCTCTGTGTGAGAAAAGCCATCACTCTCTCCTCCCTGCTGAAATCAACAAGGCAGCAGGAGGATCAGTGTCCGCCCACCATTCTGGCCAAGCCCTGGCACCCATGGTCAGTGCTACCCCTGCCCGAGGCAGAACCTTTCAGACATAAATACCAAATCTGCCTTTCCCCTGGAGGCAGTAGGACACTTCTCAATGGGCAGTGGTAAAGGTTTTAAATATAGTAGTTTTGAAATTTAAAACATTAAGTTTTCTTTTAATGAATATATCCACTAAAAGGGGCTGCAATGAACACAAGTACTGTTTAAACTGTAAAACTACCTCTCTCTCTTCTTTAGTTGCCAAGAACACTTGTTGAAAACTGACAGTGTGGACAAGCAGTGGTCTTAAAGTTGTAGTTGCTGCTCAAACCACCACAAACAAGGAAGCTGCCTGGCTCCAGCATCTGTTGCAGGAGACTCACTCCCACCTGAGGATATGTACCCCTGGCAGTTTCACAGTGAGTGAATGACTGAACAGTAGTAGCACAGGTGCTTGGCTAAGAGCTTTGAAAACATGCACAACCTAATTTCTGGTCCTCCTGCTCTCATCCTCAGTCGTTCCTGACAACAAGGACCATGAGGCAGGCCCATATCAAGCTGGCATCTGAGTCTATTGTACTGTCAAGCAGTAACATAAAGACAGTCTGTGGATGAGGCCTATGGGCAATCTGTAGTTTTCAACATAGTGTTTCAAAGAATGACTGGTGGGTGGGACAGAAAGAACAGATGAAAAGAATTCTGCCCTGCTACATTAGGCATCTTAGAAATGAATGGGCCTTGAGAAGTGGTACTAAACTTGTAATCCTCCTGACCTGAAGAGGCATACATACATCAAGTGATGGTTGGTAATCTTCCCATGCAGGCTCCACAGCCATGAGTTTAACGGGTGGTAATTTAGCAACCAGTTTCAAAAGAGGCTCATGCCTATATTCACCTCCAATTCCCACTCTCTGTAGGTGGATTGTAGTTTATCTCCCCTCCCCCAAAGCCATGCTGAAGTTTAACTGTCAGTGTAGTCACATAAAAGGCCATAAAGCCTTTAGAGGTGTTTTTGGTCAGAGGGGCTGCACACTCATGAAGTGATTAGTGTGGTTCTGTGACAATGGCTTAGTTGCACCACTAGCTATCAAAAAGCATGTGGCCTCTTACACCCCCCTCTTTTCTACAAGCACTTCTCTGACTTTCCTCTATGAAGCCCTTATCAGAATTGGGACCCTAGTATCACATTCTGAAAAGTCCCAGACTGAGAGTAGAGGACCAAAATTAACCTCTTTTCTACATCTAGCTTCTGTTATTTTGCTACAACCATACAAAAAGGTTTAGAAAACTTCTAAGTTATCTTTTAGAAACCACTTAACAGAACAAACGTAAGCAACCAATGATGCAAGAAAAGATAAGCTTAAAACTGTTACAAGGAAGGAGACAGAGCGCTGGCCCACTGCAGCATGCAGAAGCTGCCAAGTCTGGCCTCTCCAAAACTTCAGACTTGCTAAACAACCACTCTGGGGCATTGGTGATGAGTATGGCTTGCCAGGACTGAGTGCGGGTACAGAACTGAACTGACCATTGACCTACAAGCTTCTGGGGTTGTGGTCCTGTCTGAAGACTGAAAGAGCCACAAAGAATCCAGGCACGTTCCTCAGGGTGCAGGCAGGCCTGAGCTAAACTATGCAGTATGCACCCACCCAATCACTTTTTAAATATTTTGAAAACTGTAAGCACTTAGAAAAGACCTTGCCTGCCTGCTCCCCAAAGACAAAAGCATCTGAGGGTTGTCCACAGGCAGAGGGCACAGCCTGACTTTCTGAGAACCATGGTTTCCACAAGCTTCCACTGGGTGGAAGATTAATTCTGAACAAACTGTGCCTTCTAGAACTGATTAACACCTAAGTTTGAGGAAGGGCAAAGTCTCAACTATCCAGAGACCCGAACAGCACTCTATCTATACTCTCTACGCGTCCTTCATCTGAAATAATAACCAGGAACTTGCCAGAGTCTGTGGCAAGTGTTCTCTTTCACCCTCCCCGCCATGAACTGAATAGTAAAAATCTTTGCTTTGCACATTGACAGAAGTCTTTGGCCACACTTGCACAACACCAAAGACACCAGCTAGAGGTGACCAAGCCTCATACAGTTCCTCTTCACCATTTGTGATGTCATCTCCTTTTACAGCTTAGGCTGGCCTGGAACCTCCTGTTCCTCCTGAGTCAGCCTTCCCACTACTAAGATTATGTAATTTACTCTCAACTAGATTGTTTTAATTACTATCATAATGTTGTGCTTTAGCTTTGTATGAAGCTTATTCTATGCACTCAAGGCTTAAATATAAACAAACAAGATATTCCGTTTGTAAAAAAAAAAAACAAATATTTTTTCCCCATCTGAGAGAACAAATACTATACTCATATAATGAAAAGCTAATTTTAGGCAGCTTTTATACTCTGAATTAACACTAGAAAATGGTCGCTAGATTTGCTAACAGACCATTGCCAGGAACACATAGTCATGCACATATACAAACCTGAATGAGAGTCATGCCAAACTAAATGGACCCTTTATCGGTAAGTTTGCTGTGACCCAGCTGTATACTCAGCTCTAGCACTGAAAACAGACCTGTAATTTAGTTTTGAAGTTACACAAGTTTCTTAGAAATCTGTTGCTGAGCTGTAAGGAAATGTGTGTCTTTGAGTGGATGTATGGCATTTTACATTTCCAAGTCTGCAGGAAGAGCAGTCTCCCAGGCAGCATGGGGCATGCTCTAACTTCTGGCACAGCAGCTTCTCTAAAGCAGATGAGGGAGAAGAGGTGTGCCCATCTTCAGCCCAGGTAGAAACATACCGTTGAATTGCTCTAAAATGATTGCCTTTTAATGAATATAATAAAAATGTCTCTTTAGACTACCATTTGGTTTTTTAAATATCTATCTGAATTAAGTAAGCCCAGGCAATACTTTTTATCAGCTTAATCTTAAAAAAGAAAAAAGAAAGAAAGAAAGAAAAAAAAAAAAGAAGTTTGTGGCCAACATTACTAGGACAAATTTATTTATAACAAATGGTTTAAATGTACAGATAAAAATGCCCACTGATACTGTCAGGGCTTCTTGCAATTTGACAGATCAAATCTTATTTTCATTCTTTAAAGCCCGTGAAGAAGTGGTATCACTGAGTTGCATTCACTAGCAGGTAAATTGATTAATCCCTCTCCATGGAACCTCAGCCCTTGATTATACCTATCAGGCGTTAAGCAGCATTATTCTGGAGTGACAACACTTGACAAATTCCCCAATCATTTTCCTCAGCCTTTGTGGCCCTGCTACCTTGTATTAACCCTGATGAAAAATTAATTTTCCTTATCTTCTTTTAAACCCCAAAATCCAAATCCGCCAAACTGGCAACTCTTTCTGTAAAGGTATTATGAAAACCTCTAAAAGATTAATTGCATGTCTTCAGGTGACATTAAATTAATTTCTGTACTCATGACAGACATTTGATACTCAGCACTGAAAGGATAGATAACATTGTCAGGACACACAGAAGGACAGTGGTGTGGTGTCCCAGGGCAACCTCTTATGAATTCTCCTCCTGATAAGGCCACACTTCACTGTCACCGCAATGTAGATGATGATGCAGCCACAGCCCTTGCCGCACAGGTTTCTATTAAGGATAACAATACAAGCCTATCCCAGCAATCTCTGGGAGGCTTGTTCAGGATCGGTACAATAAATGATATGCAAGCTATGTGAAGTTTCCAAGCACAAATATGTACAGGACTCTATTTTCCCTCTGTAGACTGCTAGACTGGAGGAGAGACAGGACAGAAACAGGCCAGCCCTAACCTCCCTGCCCTGAGTACTGTGTGGGATATGAGAATACCTCATATTTGCAATGCTCTTTTCTCTGCCATCAGGTAGGTATGCTTACACAAACAGTAAACAAGCACACTGGGAACAGAAATCTGGAACATTACTTCAGGTAATGGGTCCAGAAGGCAACTACAAACCAAATCCAAAAGGCTAAAGCCACGTAAGTAGCCAGATCTAACTACTGGGCTTCACTTCATGAGGGAAGTAACAATGTGCTCTACTTTACTATATGAGATGTGGCAGTTTCTAAGTGCTTAGCCATGTCACAGTCTTCCATTCTGAGACTAGTTATGTATCAGGAAATCTTTAAAGAGAAGAATTAGCTTGTCTTTAAAGGAAAACAAAAACCAAACAAAAATATAAAAAAGTAAAAAGCAATACCAAAGCCTTGAGTCTCTAAGGAGAAAAACAAGGTCCAGGGCAGATGGCACAAATCTACCAGGTGAAACTGGAAATGTACTAGAAGTAAGGCTCTGGGTCCTCTGAAATACAGAGGCTTCCTAGGCAGCGGGGCTGTGACCTGGTTCTTCCAACTCAGAGGTGAGGGTTCAGGGACTTCTAACAGGCAGCTCTGTCCCTGCAGGTGCCTGCCTAGTGCAAACCTGTTACCCATTGCCCCACCGATGGTCAACAACACTCTCCTCAGAATCCTACCCATGGTCCTGTCTTTTATACCTGCAAAGATCACTGCTTCAGTCAGTTCTACTGGGTTTTTAGCTCCCTCCACCTGAGCCACCAACACACTGCTTTATTGCCCTTCAAAGCTAGCTTCTGACAGAACCAGGCAGGGCTGAGCTGTGTCCGCTGAATAACATTTCAAACTAGCAAGTATGACAGATCTATACTTCAAAGTTCAAAACAGCAGGCAGACAGGATGGTTCAGTGGGTAGGGGTGTTTGATGCCAAGCCCGATGACCTAAATTCTATACCTGGGAACCACATGATAGAAAGAGCCAACTTCTACAAGTCTCACCTTCCACGTGTAAACCATGGCACACCCTATCACCAGAATAAGTAAATGTGAACATTTTTAAAGTTTGAAAGCAGCAAACAGACCTTACAACACAATCCTACTCTGCAAACCAAATGAAAAGGGCATTTGGGGGGTAAAAGCAGAAGGTGGCTGAAAGGATTAACA